AAGAACATCCATGTTGTTGCAAATGGCATTATGTTGTCGGTTTTTATGGCTGAATAGTATTCCATTGTATAAACATACCACATCTTCTTTATCCAATCATCTGTTGATGGACATTTAGGCTGTTTCCATGTCTTGGCTATTGTAAATAGTGCTGCTATGAACATTGGGGTGCAGGTGTCTTTTTGAAGTAGGGTTCCTTCTGGATATATGCCCAGGAGTGGGATTCCCAGGTCATATGGTAAATGCATTTTTAGTTTTTTGAGGAATCTCCATGCTGTTTTCCACAGTGGCTGCACCAAATTGCATTCCCAGCAGCAGTGTAGGAGGATTCCCTTTTCTCCACAGCCTCTCCAGGATTTGTCATTTGTGGACTTTTGAATGATGGCCATTCTGACTGGTGTGAGGTGATACCTCACTATAGTTTTGATTTGCATTTCTCTGATAATTAGTGATATTGAGCATTTTTTCATGTGCCTATCGATTATTTGTATTTCTTTCCGGAGAATTGTTTGTTTAGGTCTTCTGCCCATTTTTGGATTGGGCTGTTTGTTTTTTCTTATTAAGTCGTATGAGCTGCTTACATATTCTGGAGATCAAGCCTTTGTTGGTTTCATTTGCAAAAATTTTCTCCCATTCCGTAGGTTGTCGTTTTGTTTTACTTCGCATTTTTAAGTTTAACCTGCATTACTAACATTTTCTCTGTCACTAAATCTAGACAGTCAGCAAAACAATAAACCAAACCCTTATTTGTAGTGTTTGCCAGTTTCCATGGGTCATGTTCCCACCACAGCCAGCTTCAAGCTACTAACGTGACGTCTCTGACCACAGGGCTGGGGAAGACAGGCGGGAGCGCTGCTTTGTGGGATTTCCACCACGTGGGTGCAGTCGGTGCAAATCACCCCAGGAGCGCAGGCAAGAGTGAGATAACTAAGAAGTCATGAATCCAATTATTTCCTCTGTTTTTAAAGTATTTAACTGTAAGTTTATATAAGTTAATTTTTAATAAAGGCTGTGCTTCATAACCAGCTCACAGATTCCTTGAGAACTTTGCAGTTGGCCCCCATGACCCAGTCAGAGCCACTGTCTGTGGGCCATCTGGGTGAAGATATACCATGAATTGATGGGTCTTTTACTTAGAAGCTGAGGCCAAACTAGAGATGCCAATTCAGGAATCATTCTCAGTCTAGTTGAAGCCTTGGGAATAATAATTGTTCAGCAAGAGCGAGTGAAAAGAGTGAGTAAAGTGAGAAGAGGTCCCAGGGCAAAGCCCCGGGGTCATATCCACTCGCACTGGACCAGCTGGGCGAGGACAGTTGCGGAAGCCCGCTGGGCGGCCACATGGAGAAGGGAGCGAGCTCTTCCAAGAGCTGCAGGAAGCCGCGAGGGCGAGGGCTGGACAGTGTCTGCTGACTTAGCAGCAGGTCACTGGCTATACTGGTGGTGGACGTCTCAGTGGGAACGGTGGGTATTGAAGCCAAAATCTGCTTTGTGACATGAGCAACTAGAGGCTGCAGTTTTAGTTATTCTTTTGTAGTACTTCACTGTAAAAGAAAGGATGGGGGCCAGGAGGGATGGTAGGTAACAGAAATTAATGTCCAGGCTTCATCATATTTATAATGTGTAGGGAAGGAGCTGGGGGCACAGGTAGCTAGTGAAGCAAGGTTGAGGAGAGGAGGGGACCTCCTCTTGGACAGAGAGACTAATCTTGAGGGGGAGGGTGTAGCTCAGTGGTAGGGTGTGTGCTTAGCATGCACAAGGTCCTGGGTTCAATCCCCAGTACCTCCACTAAAAATAAATAAACCTAATTACCCCCCCAAAAAAACAAAGAAAGACTAATCTTGAGCAAAAGGAACACTTTCTGAAATAGAAGAAAGCCAGTAAAGAATATTGCAGATACAGATGTGTTTGTGGGTATGGGCAGGGGAAGTTGACTTTGCTGTAGTTTGCCTTGAAAAGACATGAGCCTTTGCTGGTGGCCAGGCCAGACAGCTTCACGCTCACTTCAATATAGTACCGCAGTAGAGGGCTTACGCGTGAGTCATTTGGTAGTTAGCAACTTTTGGTTTGCTTGTTCCCCTTTTTGCTAGAATAGAAGCAGTTAGATTTAATCCTAATAAATACTTGTGTCTGAAAGTAAAATGAAATGGGCCTGAGGAAATGTGTGTGTGCAAGGAGAAGATCAATGACCGCTATTAACGTCAACGCGTCTCTTAGTGTGCTTGTGAAGTTCGTAATAGGTGCTCGTGGCTGCCAAGTGCCTGTGGAAGACAGGGAGGATCCTTACTCCTGCAGACTCCTGAACATCACCAACCCAGGTGAGTCTTCCTTGTCCTCAGCCCTGCGACTCCATATACACTAGTGCCCCCTTATCCTCTGGGGACCCGGGCCAAGACCCCACTTTAGATGCCTCAAACCCTGCATAGGACCAAACCCTGCGGGTACTATGTCTTTTCCTATACAGACAGACTGGGATGAAGTCTAAGAGATTGACAACAATAAATAATAAAATAAAACAGTTATAAAGACAGACTGTAATAAAAATTATGTGATATTGTCTCTCTCTCAAAATAGCTTATTGTACAGATGTAATGCCGTTTCTGTTTACCTAAGCACTTACCACACACGTGGCCGTCGTTTTGGCACTTTGGAGTGTGACAGCAAAATTAGCACAGATGTCTTTTTCCTTCTTGGCAATGTCGCAGATAGAGTATTTGTTCTTACTGTAGATCTTAGCACCCTCAGCATTTTTTTTTTCTTTCCTTATTAAGTGGAGAACTTTCACCTTTTTACTTAAAGGAAGCATGTTATGGCTTCTCTTTGGTATATTCGAACTGCCAGCGTCATTGCTCTTGTGCTTTGGGGCCTCACTGAAGTAAAACAAGGCTTACTGGAACGCAGGCACCCGGACGTTCTGATAGTCGATCTGCTAACACAAACAGCTGCTGAGTGTCGGTGGGTGGGATACACTGGACAGAGGGACGGTTCACAGGACAGGTGGGACAGAGCTGGATGGCCAGGCATTTTGTCATGCTGCACAGAACAGCCTGCAGTTTAAAATGTAGGAATTATTTCTGGAATTTTCCACGTAATGCTTTCGGACCACAGTTGACTGTGGGTGTCTGAAACCTTGGAAAGTGAAACCGCCGACCAGAGGGGAGGACTACTGTACAAGTTTGATATCGAGAAGAAGTTGAGCTGGAGAGTACAGTGGTCTATTTTTAGCAGACTAAAATCGAACCTTCATGAAAATTTATCTTTCATCCTTTTTGACAGACAGACTAAACACTCTGGGCATCTGTGAAGATTCCTTATAGATATGTGTAATTACAGGATCCAGGAGAGTTTATTTTTCAGTATGATTCAGATGCATCTGGAAATCGTTATGCATAACTAAATCTTGAATTACTGAATTTTAAACTTATGGAAAACTGCTGATTTCACCAGCCTGTTGATTTATAATACCCTTGATACAAATACTGTAATTAACTTTCTCTAAGAATTATTGCCTAAGCTCTTGCAAAAGAAACATAGTAAAACACATTGTAAAAAGAAACATAGAAGACACAGGTGATAATTTTTATTCCTTGCAATTATATATTACGTCAATTTCCACAAATTTTTTAACTAACTATATTTCAGTTAGAAAAAAAAACTTGTGGGAGTTCTGATGAGGATGAAGAATGATCCCAGTTAGGTTCTCTGTTACCAGGGAACCAGTTTTAGGAAGCTGATAACTATCTGTCTGTTTTATTAGTATTTCCCATTATGTTCAGCTGTGGTTCTAAGGGAGCTTAAACTTTTCCAAATCTTACATGTGCTGATTATGACTTCAGGTGTTTTAAGGTTTGCCACACCTATGTAATTATCCGCACCTTGCTTTTGCAGGCAGCGATAGTATAGTGGTTAAGAGCTTGGGCTCTGGAGTCAGGCTTCCTGGCTTAAGTATAGGCTGTGCCATTTTCCAGCTGTATGACCCTCAAAGAGTTATTTACCCCTGTGCCTCAGTTTCATCTTCCATAAACTGGGGTAAAAGTACTTACTCGTAAGGGATTGACATGATGATGAAATTAGTTGATACATGTAAAATATTTAGAATAATTCCTGGGACATGATAAGTGTTTATTGTTATTTTAAGGAACTTGTCTTTTTATAAATTGTGTTTCAATCAGCTTTTTTTTTTAATGAATTGGGGACTATAATTTTCAGGTCTATTGTACAGCAGAGGTTTCTTACTTAGGAGGTCTGTGAATTTAGCTCACATCATTCAATGTTAAAATTTTGTGTGTAATTGTGTTTTTTAGGGGAGAGAGTCCTTTAGCTTTTCACTGGGAGCCCAAAGGGATCAGGAACCTAACAAAATGCTGTATTACTAATGATGTAAAAGTAGCTTAGAACAAATTATGTTTGAAATCCAAAACCAAACCAAACCAAATTTAAAGAAACCTTACCTTCAAATTAACCAGACTTTTATTTTAAATGTTACTATTCATTAATAGTAAAGGAGTGAAGCTTTTCTTTAATAGAAAATTTTCATATATGTAATACCTAGGTTACCAGCTTTTTAAAATAGGTATAACTAAATTAAGATTGAACCTAATTTTATCTTTTTGGTGATTTAAATAGCATTTAGATTTCCTTCAGTACCTTAAGGTCATCATGAACATTAGTCATCATGATACTCAGGGTGTATCGAGGTTCTGATTAATAGCATTGTCAAAGCAGCAGGATCCCTTGTGTCCAGGGAGCTTGAAGTTCAAGGTACATTTTTTTTAGATAGAAAATAGATTGCATGTCATAATGTGCTTAACCTACTGCCTCTAGTAGACATGCTTCAGCTTGGGTATCCTCTTTACCGACTATATTAAAGAGAAAAGCTTTTGTTGTTGTCCAGTGTATTTGGAGTCTAGACTCTCCGGCCAGTGCTTCCCCAGCCTGTGATGAAATCTGTATCCTCCTTTTTTCCTCCTGCTTATGTATGTAATTGGGTAGGAGCCATCAATTCCATTTAGTCACATTTTATTGAGCATCCACTAAATGTAAAATAGCATTTTAGGGATCTAAATGATCCACTGGGGTGTGGAAAGAAAACAGTTTCTGTTTATCTGAAAATAAAATTATCTGAAAATAAAATGTGATCTTTATTAATATTGAATATATTAACTGATAATAATGTGTATATTCTGTAAATAAATATGAGTATGTGTACAAATGTTTTTAACTGATGAGGTTGTGTGATCTGCAAAGTTGGAAAACCACAGATCTAAGAAATACAAAAAACTTTGATATAATAATCTTTTAAAATAAGTTTTTATATTATTTCTCAAGGTGGCACTGATATTCTCAGCCATATTAAGTGCCTCATGTAATATCTCCTGATCTGTTTATGGTAGTTGAGAAAATTATTTGAAAAGAAGTGTTTTGGGCTTTGATTAGACAACTGCAGGGGAATAGAAAGAGTTTCAAATTTGAAGGCAGTAAATCTGGATTTGAATCCAGGCTCTGCCACTTCCTATGACCTTGATCGAATTACTTAACGTCTCTGGACTTCATTGTCTTAATCTGTGACCTGGAGATAAGGTCACGACCACATAGGGTAGTTGTGAAAATTAAATGTGTTGGGACGTAACACCAAGTAGGGGTCAGAAATGCTCACCATGTTTGCTGTGCTTATCTCTTATTGATAGTATATAGCAAGAGGTTTTCAGTGTTGAAGTGATTTGTTATTTTTGTACTGTGGTAATTGCCCAACACTACAAAAAGTGCTCAACAAGAAGTAGGATCTTGGGAATTTGCAGACAAGACAGAATTTACTCATTATTTATGACTACAGTGAGTACTCCCATTTAGCCTTTCCTAATAGGTGCCTTTAAATTTAATATTCCCTGTAGCGTTTGTATACACACATGCATACGTGTGTGTACAAAAATCTGTTACAGTAGTTCTGATAATTAAATATTCTACTTAGATGTGGCTGAAAATTTCATTCTTAAATTTTAAAACAAATTTTACCCCCTGCCCCAGAAGCAGCCATATTTCTGAAACATTTTAAAAATTCATTGCCATTTGTGAAAGAATTATATAACAAATAATTATCTAGATTTTGCTATCAAGCCCACTTCATTACTTCATATTAGTAAAATAAAATAGTATATTTCTTTATGTAAGACTCCTTTTCTCATTGCTTCTGTAGTTTTGAATCAGGAAATTGAAGCATTCAGTCTTTCCGAAGACACTTCATCAGAGCTCTCCGAGGACCGAGTCGTCAGCGTGAGCTTCCGCGTTCTCTATCCAATCGTCATTACCAGTCTCGGGGTGTTTTATGACGCCAGCGATGGGGGCTTCCAGAGGAACATCACTGTCAAGCTTTACCAGGCAGATCAGGAGGTATGTACTGCTTTGTATACGCTTTTCCCCATTTTTCTTTTTCAAAACCGTCAGCTTTTCCTCATGGCAATTATTAGGTTGGGAGACTTGCACCTTTCTTCCTTGTCAATTAGACACATGATGGTGTAATGTGTTACAGTGCTGGTCTGGGGAGAGGGTACCAATGAGTAAATGTGTTAGGGAAGGAGGAGTTGGACAATCCCCTAAAGTCTAAAGAGTTTCACAAGTTGATAATAAATATAAGTTTTGGACTTGTAGGTATAATCAAGTATTACTGCCTCTTTCTTCCAACCTTAAAAGTCTGTCACCATAACACAGACTAACAGCTGCTTCAAACCTTTTTTGTAATAAGGGTGTAGAGGGAATAAAAATTTAAAACAACTGGGGTTACTGTTGCTGATGTTTGGGGAAATGTGATTGTTCCCAGAGTGTATCTGAAGGTGTGTAACAAGGAACTGTACTTGAGAAGACCTGTTTCTGGGTTTTAAACTACGTAAATCTTGAAAGAATTACACAGTGAGCATCCATATATCCACCAGCTGATGTATACAATAGTTACAGTTTGCTGTATTTCCTTTATATCTGTGGTCATTCATCAATCCGTCTTTTCTAAAAAATGGATTTTAGAGTAAGTTGCAGGCCTCAGTACCCTTCAGCCCTGAACACTTTGGTGAGCATATCATTAACTAGGCTTTAATATTGTATATGGTTTTAAAATTTTACATGCAGTGTAATGTGCATTCAGTTTTTTGAACATTATAAACCTGTGTAATCTAAACTCCTGTCACCTCATCTTATTCCCTGGAGGCAACCAGTTTTTTTTTTCCCCAGCCATTGACTGGTTTTGCCTGTTGTAGGATCCTACTTCATATGTAAATAGAGTCATACACTAAGCACTCTCTTGGGTAAGGCTTCTTTCAGTCAACATAATATTTTTGAAATTCATCCATGTCATTGTATGTGTCAGTACATTTTTCCTTTTCCTTCTTTGAATTGCTAAGTTGTATTCCAACAATGTACAACGTTTATCTAGTCTTGATGGGCATCTGGAATGTTTCCAGCGTTTTTCTCCTTTATTCTGTTACTGTGATGAATTACGTTTATTAACTTTTGGAGTGTTCATCCAACCGTGTATTCCTCTTGAGTGTGATGTATTATTCTTTTTATATATTGCTGGAAGTTGTGTTTCTTGTGGACAACATATAGTTAGGTCTTCCTTTTTATCCAGTCTGAGAATCTCTGCTTTTTACATGGAGTGTTTATTCCATTTACATTTAATGCAATTATTAAAGTGTTTGGATTTCAGTTTTTCATTTTGCTATTTGTTTTCTGTATGTTCTACTTTTTGTTTTTCTGTTCCTCCTTTCCTGCCTTCTTTTGGGTTAATTGGATTTTTTTTAGAATTCCATTTTAATCTCTCTGTTGTCTTTTTAGCTATAGCTCTTTGTACTATAATTTTTTGTGTCTGGTTGACATAAGAATTACAGTACACATCCTAAGCTTTTTGATCTTCTTTAAGTTAATGTTATATAACTTCATATAAAATGTAAGAGCCTTGTATAAGCCAATTTACCGCCCCCAGTCTTCTTTGCTCTGGTTATCGTATGCCTTATATCTCTGTGTGCTATAAACCCCACGAGACAGTGCCACGGTTTTTGCTTTAAAAAGCTAAATGTATATTAAAGTAATTTAGAGAAAAAAATCTTTTATATTTGCCCACTTATTTACCATTTCTGTTGTTCATCATTCCTCCTGAATATCCATCTGATACCTTCTTCAGCCCAAATCATAATCTTTACTAATTCTTACAGTGCAAGTTTGCTGGTGATGAATTTGCTTAGTTTTCATTTTTCTGAAAATGTTTTTATTTTGTCTTTATTCTTCCCCTCCTTTATTTTTGTGGGTATTTTCTAGATACTGAAATTCTGGGTTGCCTTCTTTACTTTCCAGTGTTTTAAAGATAGCACTCCCGTGTTTTCTGGCCTCTGTGTTTCCTGGAGAGAAGTCAGTCTGCCTTCGGGTGGTTGTTCTGGTGTATGATGTATGCAGTGTGGGTTTGGTTTTGTTTTCTCCTGGCTGCTCTTGAGTTTTTCTCTTCATATGTACTGGTTTTAAGCAATTTGGTTGTGTTGTACAGTAGTGTGTTTTTGCTGGGTTTTTCTTAACCCCGTTTCGCCCCACTCTTTCTGGGATTCCACTTACATGTATGTTAGACTTTTTCATATTGTCCCACAGGTCATAAGACTGTGTTCATTTTTTTCAGTTTTTTTCCCTCTGTTTTTCAAATTTGATTTGAAATTTGATTTCTGTCCATGTATATTCACGTTTACTGACTCTTATGTCACCTCAAATCTTTTAAGCCTAGCCAATGATTTTTTTTTAGATACTGTACATTTTAGTTCTAAAATTTACATTTAATTCTCGAAGTTTCTATTTTTCCAAAATTTCCTGTTTTTCTAAATTTTGTATTTTTCTGAGTTCAGTTTGAACATATGTTCTCTATGGCCTTGACCTTAACTGTGATTAACGGCTTTAAGATCCTGTCTGCTGCTCTAAGTCTGAGTCATCTTGGCCTGTCTTTATTGATTACCTTTCCTCTCGAGTATGGTAACACTTTCCTGTTTTATATCGAGTAACCTGGGGTTGTATCCTGGGTATTGTGAATGGTTCATTGTAGGATCTCTGCATCCTCTTATTCTTTGAGGAGTGTTGATTTTTTTGTTTCTTGTAGCAGTTAAGTTAGCTGGGCTCAGGCTCTCAGTCCTGTCTCCTTGCAATGGGCAGTGGCTGAAATCTCTGTTCTGTTCATTTGAACCTAGACGGTGGGCACTTGGATTCTTCTTTGAATGTGCATTTCTGAGTCAGCCACAGGTAAGGATAGAATTTATACGAAGAGTTCAGAGCTTTCTCTATGATTCCTTCTTTTCTGGGGTTTTCTTCCTCATTGTTAGCTCATCTTTTTGCCACTGCTCTGTCTTCTGATTTGTAGCCAGAAAGGCTGCAGCTTTCTTTTTTGTTTGTTTGTTTTTTTCGGATGTTTAGTTAGCCCCCTGAGGTGTGCCTCAGACAAAAAGCCATTAAAGAAAAATAGTGGGGACACACGCACCCAGTGTCTTTCTCATCTTCTTGGTATTGATTTTCCTCCAGTTTCTGCCTGCTTTGTGTGCATTCCAGTGCCTTCAGATCAGTTTTTAAAATGTTTCATCTACTGTTCATAATTGCTATCTGTAGGAGAACTTTATATCCCTGGAAGCAGAACTCTGTTCAGTTTTTTTAAGGCATCTTTAAAAATGTTTATGTATTATTAACATTGATTGCTACTGACGGATAACAGTATTAGAGTCAGCAATAAACACAGATCAGTTTACGATTAAATTTGTTTGCAGTTTGTCCTGTTCCTTCGTCCTCTAAAGAGCCTGTGTCTTTTGTAAGTGTGCTTAATGACATAAATATAAATGTAGGTTGGGAGCAGCGCTCACTGATGGTTCCTGCCAGAAAAGCTGTATCATGTTACTCAAGTGCCTGCATTCGTGTATTCTTGTGGTTGAGGGTTTCATGGACACCGAAGCTCAGACAGGTGACTGGAACAGCAGCACTCTGAATTCCACCGTCAGCCTTATCTAGCAAGTAGCATCAGTGTTGAATTTGGCAGTTAATTGTAGTGTACGTAGGCTTTTCTGAACCATGCACAGTGCTTTTCGGTCAAGTGGTTTGATTCAGACGTAGTTTTTGATCATGTTGATTTAACTTTGAGCTGCCTTATTTTTAACCAAGGAGAGGTTAATCCTTGTCCTCAAGGAAGGCGTAATCTAAGGTAGACCTTTCTAGGTTCACAGGTTGTCACCATGTAAAAAGTCTTACCACAGCACTGCCAAGAGTTGATGTTAATGAAAGAAACATGCATAATTTACTAAAACCCCCTTCATTCTGACTTTCTGCGTGGCCTTGATAGCTTTAACAGAAGCTTCCCCTATGGTAAATTGGTATCTAAGAGTAGGCTTGAGAATAAGGAGATATTCTTGCCTAAAACAGGGAGAAAGGACCCAAAGAAAACAACAGACAGAGACAGTCAGCCCTCTCTTGTGTTCCCTTTTTCGCTTTTGTTTTTTTTCTTCTAAAGGGTGCTTTTGAAGGGAGATTCCTGGGTACCTCTGTTCTATGTAGAAATCTCTAATCTTTCAGTTTATTCCTAACTCTCTGGGGTTAAGCCTGGTAGTCGGCTTGATTTAATAACACTGTATTTATACTGCTCCTAATGCTCCTCATTGTAAGGTGGCTTTTTTTGAGGTTATGTGAGTTATATATTTAGTGTCTTAGAACTTTTTGACAACTTTCGTGTCTTAAATCTTTGTTTAATAACCATGATTGCACTAGAAAACCCATGTGGTTCCGAAACCACAGTGGAACCATGTCCGTAACCATGGTTGGGGCCACTGAGAGTTTAGCTGACCGAGCCACAAGCTGTTTGGAAACCCGTTGCATCTGCCGTGACTGACGTGAGGTATTTCTTCTTGTCTTCCTCCCCCCGCATTTGCAGGAGGCCCTCTTCGTCGCTCGCTTCAGCCCTCCGAGCTGTGGGGTGCAGGTGAACAAGCTGTGGTACAAGCCCGTGGAGCAGTTCATCTTACCAGAGGTACAGGCCGGAGCCAGAAGGCTCCAGTGCCACGTGGGCTTTCCCAGTCCTGGGCGTGTGCTTTCAAAGCGGGCACTTACCTTTTCCTGTCCCGGGGCTGCTCCCCAGAGCCGGAGGTGGGGCCACCAGCTGGGAGGCAGCTCAGTGTGGCACTCCACCCTCACGCCCCCGGAGGGCTTCACGAAGCCCCACGGGTTCCACAGCACGGCTTCTGAGAAGTGTTGCACATTGCCGTGGTTTATTTAGTGGGCCAGGGACTACGTGCCTGCCTTAACGACAAAGGACAGTCGTAGGTGTGCTGATGGACCAGACACAGCTGCCACTGGAGTAAAGCAGATGGTTAGGGATCTAAGGCGTCGGGGTGGAGGGAAGTGCAGACAGATAACAGCAGAGCGATCAGCCACATCTCCAGGGTTAATAAAACTACTCTGAGATGTGGAGGATATTTGAAACAAGACTGTAGCTCTCGGTCCAGTCTTAAGGAGATGTGTGCTGGAGACCATCTCAGCTGCCAGGTGCCCTCATCAGGCCTGGAGTTAACCGGAATGCGGCTGCGTCCCAGTGTGTTACAGATCGTTCATCCGTCAACCTCGGGCTTTCCAGGCTGCTCCGGTCTAGTCTGAGGGCAGTTCTGAGCCCAGGGCTTTGGAACCGCAGTGGGGGTCAGTTTCCCGGTCATCTCTGGTGGTCACTGTAGCTCAGCGCTGGGGCTCATCCGGCAGTATCGGAGCTGAGTTAAGATGCGAGAGCTCGATGGTGGACAGGTCCTGCACTAACCAGGACACAGTTTCCTGCCGCCCTTCGTGGGGAGGGAGGGGGTGCTGTCCATGTTTATGCAACAGCAAAATCACACGTTTTATAACATGCTGTGGCCCTCCGGAGCTGAGTACTAGTAGTTAAACTATGTGTTAATTCCATAAGTGTCAAAGGGAGCTCCTTTGTCTCACCTATATGTGAACTTCTGTTTAAAAACATGTGAAATAGTAGGGGAGGGTGTAGCTCTGGTACGGCGCGTGCTTAGCGTGCACGAGGTCCTGGGCTCACTCCCCAGTCCCTCCATTAAAATAAATGAATAAATGAACCTGATTACTCTCAAAAAAAAGAAAAATTATTTTTTTGAAATGTGAAATAAAAGCAGAACTAAAACATACTGTAAAAAATTTCCCAGTTTCTCAGTTATAAAAAAGACTGTGGTGAGCGTCCTGACACGCTTGTGTACATGGTGGTTATCAGGATGAATTGTTGGCTCAAATTTATACACAGTTTTGAGGCACAGGATTTGTTTCTCGAGGACAGTTAGCAGTTTTTAATCAATCTGAGTAATTGTCAGCATTATATGAGAATGCCATTCGTGTTATATCCTTTCTAAATCTCATATATGAATTTTTTCTTTGTTAAATGAAGTATGTACTATCAAAGGTATCTCTTTGTTTTTCTTTATTGGCGGTACTGGGGATTGAACCCAGGCCCTCGTGCATGCTAAGCACGTGCTCTGCCACTGACCTGTACCCTCCCCCTGGTAGCTCTTAGTTAAGGATAGTGGCTCAACTAAGTAGCATAGGCCAAGTGTTGGATCTGTTTTTGAAGGAAGCCATTTGGTTTGTTGACTTGTTTATTGAGAGCTGAGTCTGTGCAGAGCACCGGGGCTGTACAATGACATAGTTCAAAGATCCCTGCCCTTAAAGCAGCTCGTGAGAGTCGGGGAGGAAGAGCTGACATGGCCCTGCTGTAACTTACTGCGTCCCCGGCACAGCTGTAAGCAGAGGTCTGCACTGACTGGTCAGCAGGCTTCTTTGGGATTGAAGCAAGTCACGGGTGAGAGTCCAGCTCTTCTACTGAGAGGCAGCGTGGGCAGGACCCAGGGGAGAGCCTGGGACTCTGAGGACCGGGGGCACTAAGCCTAGTGTCGGGCACAGTCGGAAAGATCTGAAGCTGCTGTCGGGCTGGTCTTTATGGACAGCGTCCGAGGACTGGCCCAAGCAGGACGGGAAGCCCCGCCGCGCCTGGGAGTTAAATGCATGAGGGCGGACACCTGTGAGTGCAGCGGGGCTGCGTGTGGGTCCCTGCTCTGCCCCTCAGTGGCCCTGTGACCTTGTGCAGGCTGCTTAACCCCACTGTGTCTCTCTCCTCCTCTGTGCAGGGACCCAGTTCAGAGGGTTGTTCAGGGAGTAAACAACTGAATGGATGTAGAATGTTGAGAACGTGCTGCCCTGTGGCAGGCGGTCAGTAAACAGGTATATGCCGTCCTTGTTACTGCTGGTACTGAGGATGCGGAGTTCCTCTTCCTGAAGAGCCGTGTTTCCCCGCCTGGGGCAGGCTGCCCCCAGGGGACACTCAGCAGTGTCTGGAGATACGCTTAGCTGTTGCAGCCGGGCGTGGAGGAGGACCAGCATCTTGTGGGGAGAGGCCGGGATGTCGCTGAGCAGCCTCCCCTGAACGGGACAGTCCCCACAGCAAAGAGTGACGGCCCAAGAGGCCAGGGGTGCCTCGGATGAGAAACTCGAAGAGGAAGGAGTCACAGTGTGGGGCAGCGCGGGAAGAGATAAGCTTTAACCTTAACTTCAGGCTAATCACAATTTTACGGGGTCTACTCCGTTATCTCAGTCAGCCTCACAGAGAGAATTACAGTTTTTGATTTTGTTCACAACGAAATACTACCCTTCTGTCAGCATGTCCTTGTCCTTAGGAAATACATGCTGAAGTAAAGGTGAAATGCATTTTACTTTCAAATGATTCGACAGCGAACAGAAAAGTCTGTTTACAGACAGAAATAAAGCACACGTGGCCAGTGGCTGCCTTCAGTGTCTGGGTGTTCATCTTCAGGTTTTTTGTAGGGTTGATGTTTATGAAAATAAAAACTAGGTTGGGGCAAGGGCTTGTCTTCCCTGCCAGTGTTGAGGATGGTACACGTGGCCATGGGCACTGCTGAGGGGACACTCGGCCACATCAGGGGGCGGCCTTTTACATTAGTAAGACTTGTACTGGCTACAGCCTTGGGATTTTTTTTTTTATGCAAAAGAAGCTTTTTAAAATCTATTTTTATATATAGTGGCTAATATTTGTAAATCTCAAACTCCCAAATTTATCCCTTTCCACCCCCTTTCCCTGGTAACCATAAGATTGTTTAGGTTTGTGAGTCTGTTTCTGTTTTGTAGATGAGTTCATAGTGTCTTTTTTTTTTTAATTCCACATATGAGCGATATCATATGATACTTTCTCTTTCTGGCTTACTTCACTTAGAGTGACGATCTCTGGGTCCATCCATGTTGCTGCAAATGACATTATTTTATTCTTTTGATGGCTGAGTAGTATTCCATCGTATAAATATACCACAACTTCTTCATCTAGTCACCTCTCGATGGGCATTTAGGTCGCTTCCATGTCTTGGCTCCTGTATGCAGTGCTGCTTTGAACACTGGGGTGCAGGTGTCTTTTCACATAGCCTTTTGATCTTCATTTCCCTTTGAGCTTTAAGCTACATTGGCTTTTGATTTCTCATTACATCTGAGTAATGCTTTTTTCTTTTATAAACATGCAGTTATTTAATAGTGTCTCCATTTGAGGGAGTAAGATTATGGATCTTCATTTCCTTCTTTTTGGGTATCTATTTCCTAAATGTTCTGAAGTAAATCTGTATTAGCTTTATTAAAAGAAAAAATAAACTTTTTAACATAAAATATTCTTTCCTTTTACACAAAATCCTATTTTTGCTGAAACCGCGTTTGATTTCGCATGGACAGTCACTTTTGCTGCATCAGACCTAAGTGGGCTGACTTGCACAGAGAGAAATGAAAGTGGAGAAGGGGTGGGTTTGCCTGCCTGTTGGCCTGTTGTCAGCGAAGGACGGCAGGAGAGACACAGATCGTTCACCCCACCCGAGGGGGAGAGGCAGATGGCACGTCCGTCATCTCCTGCCCCCCACACCTCACAGGCCGCTGGAGGAACACGTGTCTGCTGAGCAGGTCTCTTGTGGTGTTTTCTCTGTGACTCACTAGAGCGTAAATCTCAGCAGGGGTCACAGGCTAAAGTGGAGACTGCTGTGTGTTTTGCTTAAAATATTTACTTCTCTAATTTCATATTTTCCTTAGTGGTGCACCTGAGACTGATTTCAAGAAAAAGACTATTTTCATTCAACCTGAGTCACAAGAGACGTTCTTGTTAGCGTTAGGGGTACTTACATGCTTATTTGGAGTAAGACACAGAAGAATGAACAGCACGAGCTGCTTCTGTCACAGGGGACAGGGCTTGGCGGCACTCATTTTCCCAACCTGTACCATGCTGTGTTCTCCCTTTTACTGTGGTTCTGTGATCTTAGCAGGGAACTGCCACAGACAGGTTGTTTCACATCTGCAGAGATTCCTGGCTTTGTGATGACTTTGTACCAGGAAGGAAAAAGCAGGCTTGTAAGAAAGGAAGTGGGAAGGAGAAATTTAACTGACACAGAGCAGGTGCAGGAGAGCTGGGGAGGACAGAGCATCTCCCTTCCCTAATAACAGAACAGCTGGTGGATGATGTAAATGGAGTGAGTAAACCAGGATCACTTTCTTGGCCAATGAGTTTTTCTGGCAATTACTCAATCTAGTCAACACTGTTGATGTTAATCATGACCCCATCAAACAAAATGGAGTTGGGTGCTGGGCAGGAGAAATGGCAGTCAGGTGCCAGGTGTCAACTGAGTGGACCGGACAGAGAGTTACTTGTCCTTCATCATACTTGCTAGATTTCTAGTTTCCAGGCGAAGCTTTGATTTGGTCCCTATGGCTCTTACTCTGGCAGGGTTCATTTGGCACTACAGTCACTAAGATTCCTGAGACCTGCTGCCAACTCCCGGGGACACTTTACTCCTTGCCCTGGGGGCCTGCGGTTTTCTCTCAGCTCGCACGATGTCCGTTCTTCTGGTTCAGCTTCATCTGGCCTGGTCTTCTTCCCTGTACTTTGTTTCCTCTTTTGTTTTCCTCTTAAATATTAATCATTAGGATTTGATTTCATTCTTTTTATGG